CTCAGGTCCTCACTGGACGCACAGTGGCCAGTGATGTCGAGGAAAATGGACTACACGGAGCTGCGAATGAGCAGCCTTCTACTGAGGTTTCTCATGATTCGAAGGAGCACCAACGGATATCGTTTCGTAGCTTTCAGATCAGTTCACTGGCGTTGTTTTTCCTAAAAGGCGGGAAGTTGCCGTACGTGGCTTTCAACGAAGGAGCTCCAAATTATTACCTGGCAAACGAGTCGATTCAAGCGGCGATTTTGGGTGTTGGTAGCGATCGCACGCCGCCCGCATACATTTGCGGCGAGATCATCTTCATCGATACTTTCCAGGCGACCGAGGTATGACGTTTGTGACCCAAATTGTATGCGCGTTGAACTGACCGAGGCGTTGTGTTTGCCAGGATTTTAAGCCGTACCGCTTGCCGTACGGAACGCGCTTTCATGTTGTGACGGTCGCGAACCCGAAGAGGACGTAGCTGATAAATGCAGCAAATTAAATGGCAATACATGTATGTTGAAGTGCATACTTTAAAATAAACAACCCTTCAAACAAATCGTTTTAGTCGGTAAAGAGTCAAATTGTGGAATGACACGACACGGGTTAATTTGACTTGTAGAGTACATGTAAGCAGAGGCGACGCAGTTGAGCACAGCCCTTCATGACAATGCCGTGTTGCACACGGGGAAGCTCTGGATTTTTTTTAAAGAAAACATCCTACTTTACCGGTCCGCTAAAGAATGACCCCTTTAAGTCTGCCGAATAGATGTATGTAGACAGAGCGAGCTTCATGGTAAAGCTTTTTATTCGCACTACCCCCAATTTTTTTTTGGCAAGGCGAGTTGCGTCAATACCGAACATTTAAATTGTGACGGGCCCATCGTCACACATCGCCATCGCATCCAATGCGATGGCCAATCAGCTTGTAGAACACATCTACTGATTGGCGTGGTCCAAGACCACGCCGTTAACTTTCAATACATCTCAGAGTCTAATTTGCCTGCTTCCTCACGCACAGTGTACGTAAGGTAACGGGTTGCTGAAAGCCCGTTACACCTGGTAGCACTTCGTCATCCGTCCAACGCTCACGATGAACGACATACCGATGCCCGACGCGCCCAAGTTGCCCAACACGTCGCTGGAGCACGACAGCTTCCCCCACCTCTCTTCGATCGAATGGGAGGTGTTGCACCGCCTCGCTGCTGCGTCCGGCGAGGCTGTCATCCACACGTTGCTCACTGCTGGAGCCGAAGCTCAACATCGCCTTGCCGCCCAAGAATTCATGGCGCGTGAACTCGCTGACCTCCGTCAGCGCGTGTCGACTCCCACGCTGTCCAAGAACAGGGCTGACATCGTCAAGCTCGATGTCTCCTCTTATAGTGGTGAAGGCGACGGTCGCCTCCACTTGAACAGATGGTTCTGCGAAGTGGACATCGCAGTTGAAGCCCGGCAGCTTTCCACCGAGCTCGCGCGGACTCGCTTCCTTCTTTCCAAACTGACGGGGAAGGCAAAGGAGTGGGCCCTCGGCAAGCTCGTTGTCAACCCCTCATGCTTTTTTACGATGGCTGCAATGAAATCGGACCTGCGACTCGCGTTCGAGCCGCCCCAAGACGAGAGAGTCCAGCGTTCCGCCTTCCTGTCGTTGCAGCAAGGCAAGATGTCCATGCTCGAATATATCCAGCGGGCACGTCACCTCATCTCGTGCATCACGACACATCCGGTTGACATGGCGACCCGAGTCCATGTCTTCGTGTCCGGCATGAACACCGGCTACCAACGCTTCTACTTAACGCGGAAGTCCCCATCTACGCTGGAAGAAAGCTTTCGCGGTGGCCCTACGCGAAGATTACAGCGTCGCGGCATCTCAAGCTTTCGATTTCAGTCGGGCTCCGGCCTCCGAACCAGATCCAGAGCCGATGGAGATTGATGCCATCCGCCACTTCGATCGTTCTCGGTCGACGACACGTCCACCGCGCTCCCCGACGCGCAGGCAACGTCCGATGAAATGCTTCCGCTGTCGCAAGCCCGGACATCGCGCGGCGGTGTGCCGCGCGCCGGCACCTGTCCTGGCACCTGTCACGGTGGAGTCCGAGGTCGCCGTTCCAAAAAACGGCGACAACCAGTAGGTGCGGGGCGCCCTACTGGGAATGGAAGAAGAGATGCATCTCTGGTGGCAGAGCCTCCTCCTAGCCCTCCAGTGCTTCACGCACGACTTTTCGCCACCACTTCCGGCAGCGACTCGAGACTGATTATTCTTAGTCTTCACGTTGACGGCGCCCAGCGCCCGATCCGTGCGTTGCTGGACTCCGGCGCGACGAACAACTTCGTTCGCGCCGACAGCTTATCGGTGTTGCCGCCAACCACGCGCATCAGCGAAGGTCCAGGCCACATGGTCGTCAAATACGCTGACGGCAAGCCGCGTCGGATGCCCCGGCGCTCGGTCGCCTTCGCGTATGCATTCGACGGGTTCTCCAGCTCGGACGACTTCCTGGTGATCGAGTTGAGCGGTTCATTCGACTGCGGCTTCGGCATTCCGTGGCTAGTGCGTCACCAGCCTCACATCGACTGGTTGACCCTAACTGTTCGGCCACGCGATATCGATGTCAACGCAGTACTGGCGTACCTGGGCGGTACGCCCAACCTCTGGCCACACGTTGCTGTCATGGACCCCGACTCCATGACCACCCCTGCACTTGAAGAGAGCGATGGCCCTTCATACGCAGCCAGTGCTCCAGCAACTTGTGCCGGCCCTGCGTCGGAGCCTCAGGGCGTTTCCGATGTGGTCGAGCTGAGTATCCCACATCTTGGTGAGCAGTGGCTCCCACCTCGTAAGCGGTTGAGCGTGAGCTCCTGCCCGCGGTTGAACAGGGGTTCCCGTGCGCAGTCGCGCTGAAGCTCCCTGTACCTGTGAATATGGTCGAGCGTGGCCTCCCACGCGCGGTCGAGCCTGAGCTCCCGCGCATGGTTGAGCGGGAGCTCCCTGATGTTGTGGATGCAATCGTTCTACATGATTCGTGTCCGGCGCCGATGACATACCCCGGCGCCCAACCGATCTCGCCATGATCGAGCGTGAGCTCTCATCGCCAGATGTACTCCGTCCTGTTCGTCGTAGTAGTCGCCGTAACCCCCGCCGACCTCGTGCCCCGTCGCAGGACTCCGTCCTGAGCGAGTTCGAGACTATCACAGTCCTTGCTGGACACGCCTCGAACGATCTTCCGCGTCGCCGTGAGGTTGAGGTCGCACGTCCACCGTGCGACGCCGCGGCAATCACAAAGCTCCCCGGTCTCTCTTGGAAACATTTCCTCCGCGACTTAAAGCACGGCGACGTCGAACAAGTATGCTTACTCGTAGCTAGCGACGCCGCGTTCATCGCGACTGTCCACGTCGACACCGATGCCTCAGCGCCGGACCCCCCGACGCGCCCCACGGGCGCCGACCCGAAAACAGCCCGTGAAGCGCGCTACGCTGCACAATCGTTACCGGCCCTCGAAGCTTCCGGTAACCCTGTGGCCCCTCTCGTCCGTGAATTCATCGACATCTTCCCCGACAAGGTTCCGGCGGCCCTTCCGCCGGATCGCGGAGTCCGACACGAGATCGATCTCGTGCCTGGCGCCAAGTACTGTGTCACCAGACAGTGGCCGCTTCCCCGCGACCAAGTCGAGGCGATCGATGCCTTTTTCGAAAGTCGCCGGCAAGCCGGCCACGTTCGCGAGAGCTTGTCACCCCACTCCAGTCCTACGTTCTGTGTGAAGAAAGCGACCGGGGGGTGGAGGATCGTCCACGCCTTCAACAAGCTTAACGACGCCACAATCCCGGCACAAACGCCGATCCCACGAAAGGACATGATTCTTGACTCCATGTCAGGCAGCACCACGTTTAGCGCGATTGATCTGATGGACGGATTCTATCAGATGTTGATGCGCGAAGACGACGTGCCGCTGACCGCCGTCAGCACGCCCAGTGAAATGCTGTGGGAATGGCTAGTCATGCCGCAGGGGCTCAAGAACGCCTTCGCCACCTTTAACCGCATGGTGTCCCATTTGCTGCGTCCATATCGCGACTTCGCGCCCAGTTACTTTGACGACATCTTCATTCATAGTCATGCCGACGCCGGCATGACTGACATCGAAGTTCATCTCCAACACCTACGAACGGTGTTCGGAGTGATGCGTGAAAATAAGCTCTACGCCAACCTGAAGAAATGCATCTTCTGCGCCCCCGAGATTCCAGTCCTCGGGAGCTACGTCAGCAAGGACGGTGTCCGTGCTGACCCCGAGAAAGTGGCAGCCATCTGCGCCTGGCCATCTCCTCAAGACGCGCAACAGCTCCGACAGTGGCTCGGCCTCGCGACGTATCTCCATCACTACT